AAATTCCAGTGACTGGAAGTGATTAAAATGTGCTGATTCTCTTCACACAAACTTTGGGTCTCTCAGGGTCAGTCTCCTCCTTTATGACCCTGTCTGCCTACCTACACTAACATCAACAGTTGAGACCCTTGATGTTGTGCTTATTCAGTACAGTATTTTAACTGGAGGTGGCAGAAACATGCGAAACAAACCTCTCCACGGTTGGGCCAATGTTGTGGACTCCTTGGCTTAGGCGAGCCTTTTGTCTCTCTCTGGTGTGAGTCTATTATCAGTATGAAGATATTCTTTCTCAAGAAGCTTGGAACCTGACTGGAGATTGATCATGGAAGGTCTGAATTTTTTTATTTGATGTTCCTTCTGTCTTCTTTCCCACAACTTCCAGTCTTCAGTTTAAAACTCCAATTGTTTTAAAATGATGAACGTGAAATGCTTTGGACATTACATTCAGACACAGAGGCTGAACAAAACTGTTCTTGTTCAGAATGTTGTGTTTTTTTTAAAAAAAATTAAGACGGGATAGTGTTCCCCATCCCCAAAAAACAGAGAGTAGCTCAGCAGGCAATGCAGGGGTGAATCTTTTCAGCCCAGAAGCTTCATTAACACCAATGGAAAGCTTTAGGTCATATGATGTACAGAAGCTTTCGTACTTAATAGGAGTTTATTTTCTGGGTTGTGAAATATAGAGTCATGACATGTTAGTCCCACCTCTTATCCTTCATGATTGTAACTTTCTAAGCACAGTTCCCAGTTATATGATATTAGGTCAAAATAAAAAAGTAATATAACCTGCCCTGCCCTCACACACCATGAAAATATTTTTCCTCACTTGTTGAATTTATGACAGGACAGTGATTGTGACACAGGATAAGTCACTGTTATGGTTGTCAGACATCATAGAGTGTAAACTTACTGCCAGTCCCTTACACCTGTGTCCAGCATTTCAGCCTACTCTCATCTCAGACACTCAGTTACAGGGCACTCTATTCTTCTATTTGAAGATGGCAGCATAGACAGTGACCAGGTAAGCATGGCCAAGGGAATGAACAAAAGTGACAAGCCAGTCTCCAATTCATAGGAATACTGGAAATGGATACAGACCTCTTGATATCTCAATCTGTGTATTTCTCTTTTCAGATAATGAATTACATTTTATTTCTTCATATGTACTTTTCCTTTTTGGCCAGGACAAACCAATTAATTACATTCTAGACTCAATGGTCAGCATCCAATTTTTTAAAGGGACGTGGCATTCAGCCACCTGAGACTGAGTGCTCTAGACTTAATGGTATTACAGATATCCTTAATTTAGGTGGTAGTGTATATTATTCTGCTTTCGTCATCTTGCTGTACCTTGGAGCTTTCTTGCTCATTCTGAGGTGCTGCCTCCTCAATTTGCAACCCTCAAACAACACCATTGCCTAAAGCAATTCTTTTTGGTCCTTTCAAATTTGGTTGTAACTCCTGGCCTAGAGAAAGGGCACCACAACCACTGCACAGCATGTGAATAAAAAAAAACACGCTCCTTTGTTGGGCGAATTTTCATTTTGTGAATAACAATTTTAAGGAGGGGAAAAAACAGCTAAAGAAAAAGATAGGTTACCTACCTGTAACTTTGGTTCTTCTAGTGGTGCTTTGTGAATTCACACAAATACAGGTTAATCCTGCGCCTGCGCAGGACGTCCGGATGATTCTAGAGCTTTAGAAAAAAGAGTCAATTAGCTCCCCCCCAGAGGTTATATAGGCTCCGCCTTCTCCGTCTTCCTTTCAGTTCCCTGAGTCCGCTGTTACCGTATAAAATTAGATAAGTATGGTATCATAGAACGGTACCGTGACAGACAGAGGGGAGGAAGGGAGGGATGTGTGAATTCACAGAGTACCACTAGAAGAACCAAAGTTACAGGTAGGTAACCTAACTTTCTTCGTAGTGGTCTCTGTGAATGCACACAAATGGGTGAATAGCAAGCTGTACTCACCGGAAGGAGGGCCGTCACGGTATCAAGGATGATAGTATCGCCCGTCCAAATGCCGCATCATTTTTGGCTCTGACATCCAAGCGGTAGTGTCTAGCAAACGTCAGAGGGGTGGCCCAGGGAGCCACCTTGCATATATTTTGTAGTTGGACACCTTTGAACAGGGCTGTCGAAGTGGAGACCGCCCTAGTAGAATGGGCCTTCAGTCCGTCCAGAACAGGTTTATGAGCCAGCTGGTAAGCCAGTTGTATGACAACAATCCATTATTTGGATACTGATTGTGAAAAAGCAGGAGCACCCTTATGTGGTCCATGGTAACACAGGAGAAGACGCGGGGACCATCGGATGAAATAAATAAACCTTTCTGGGTTAAAAGAAGAGTCCCCTCTTCTTTTTTTTCCTATTAAGGGTATTAAGGAGTGAGTGTTTACTTATAAGAATAGTGCATTAATATATCCTTATTTAAAGAGAAGGTTGGAGAAGAGGTTGCTGCTCAAAATCAGAGGGACAGTCAAACACATCATTTGGCCCACAGGGTGAACATCAGCAAAAACTTGCTAATGCATTCATTCTGTAAGATATACGAAGAAACTGGAACACTGAATATAATAATTTCATATAAATTTTAGTTGTTTCCTCTTCCACAGAAGGTCAGCAAAGCCCTTTTTGACAATAGTAAAATTGTCAAAAATGCACTATTCTTATACTGTTTTTACTCCAAATAGTGTAACAGCAGCATAGCAATAACAGACTACAGTACGTTTTTTCACTATTTGGATCATGAATAAAGTTGCTTTTTAGTTACTTGATTCAAATATGTACAGTGGTGCCCCGCATAACAATGATAATCCGTTCTGGATAAATCGTTGCTATTCGGATTCGTCGCTATACAGGGCAAAAAACTCCATAGGAACGCATTAAACCCTGTTTAATGCGTTCCTATGGGGGAAAAACTCACCGTTATGCGAAGATCCTCCATAGGGGTGGCCATTTTCGGTGCCTTTAAAGCGAGGCAAGAAAGCGGGTGGCCATTTTGGAACCGCCGATCAGCTGTGCGAAAATGGGGCCTTTGGGAGGATCGTGGGGGAGGGTTCCCCCACGGTCCTTTTGAAGCCCCCGCCAGCATTTTCGCCCAGCTGAGCGGCGGGAGCTTCCGAAGGACTGCGGGGGAGGGCTCCCCCACGGTCCTCGCAAAGCCCTAGCCGGCATTTTCCCCCAGCTGAGTGGCAGGAGCTTCCGAAGGACCGCGGGAGAACCAAATGTACCAAACTCCGGTAGGTAGTGGAAGACAGGAGGGCCTGTGTTGTGGTTCATGGGGTTACAAAGAGTCAGACACGACTTAACAACTAAGCAACAAAGCAGTTTTTAAAATAAAAGGAAATGTAAATAATAGGCAGAAGAAACAGAGAGGCCAGGGAGGGAGAACATACTCCATAGGATAAAGGGGAACTGGATTCATCCAGAAAAAGCATTGAGCCTAAGAAACAACAAAGGGAGTAATTGTAATTTGCTGCAACTGTAGCCTTAGCACTTTAATTCATATGATAAAAATGAAAAGCTAGCAGAGCAATCTTACGTGTGTTTGCTCAGAAAATATTTTTTCTTGTCAAGTTCTGACTTATGGTGACCCTTTCCAAGATTTCTAGGTAGCGAGTACTCAGAAGTGGTTATTTCTTGCTTCTTCTAGGGGCATCCTGGGACTGTGTAGCTTGCCCAAGGCCACACAGGCTGGTTCTACCTGTGGATGCACAATGGGGGTTGAAGTCCCAACTCCTGGCTCTGCAGCCAGATACCTAAACTACTGGGCTATCCAGCCAGCAAGTTGTTCAGTCTCACTAAATTCAACAGTATTTTTCCTAGTTGAGTATATATTGGCTTTCAGACTAAGTACAGTACTGTAGTTGAAATTCCATCTGAAGGCTTAGAAGGGCAAATCAGCAGTGTGAATGTAAAGAGAATCCCAAACACCCACAACCTCCAATATATGAATTTTCATGTAACACTGATGAGTTCATGAGAATAAAGCTGAGGGCAGTAATGGGTCAAAACTTCACATATATAATCCTCTCAGAGCAGGCAAGGAGAATTTGGACACATATGAAAGGCATGTTTATTTATTTATTTATTTATACCCCGCGTATCTGTTCAAAATGGCCACTCTAGGCGTTTGGGTTTGAATCTGCTGCAAATCTGCTGTCAAACTTGGTCTTTGTTTCAGAGTAAAATAAAAGAACATTTGTATTTCACATGTCCATGCCTTGTCTTGATCATTAAGTTAGAGATAAAATCTCATTAGAGATTTTGATTCCTTAAGCCAATATTGTAATTGGGTTTAGACAAAATGCTCTTACTGGGATTTTTTCCTTTGCAATAAATTAGCAATTTATTACAGTGACATTTTTAAAAGATCTATGCAACCTGGAACTAGATCAAATATATTGGCCAATGAGCGAGACTAACTGCCAACTGCTCACAACTTTAAAGCTACAGGTTCTATAGTTGCTTACCATGTTATCAACCCATATAGAACAGGATAATCCTTTAAAAGCATTGGGGACTTTATTTAGGCAGTGTATCTGTTCCACTCTGGTACTTGTTTTCAGTACTTCAAACCATAAAAGTCAAACATAGTTTTGAGTAATCCATGCACATGATCTCATCTATTTATAAACTGGAGTTATTATGATCAAGTCTCTATTGGCAGGTGTCCTCTTCAGCACAAATGACCAAATGATGTAATTTCGCCCAATGCAGAAATCTAGCAGAACTATTCAAACCCAGGCATGGCTATTCTAGACTCTAGAGTAGAATGCAGTTACCTTCACATGTTGGTTGGCTGTTCCTTCCAGCAGTTTGAACCAGCACAACTAAGGGTGATGAATGCTGGGAATTGTAGTTCAACAGTGTTTTAGACAGCCTATCCCTACTGTGTAGACTCAATGCAGGAATATTGACACATGGGAAAAAGTGAAATTAGTCTAGATGGATGTTTAGGTAAGAATATGACACAAAGGATTGGTCATACTGTAGTCTGTTTATTGATCTTAAACTTTATTTAATGTTTCAACAGTTTAACAGAACACATACAAAACAATATTATAAGTTAAATCTAGATTCAAATTTGAGAAAAATCCACCTTTATTTACACATCTGTGCTTCAAGCTGATCTGCAAAAGAAACATTCAAGCTTCTCAGTAACACTTTATTTTAGTGCCAGTAAAAGTAAAAGACCATGTCAAGCACCATGTCAACAACTTTAGACCAAACACTTTCCCCTACATTCCCTGGTTACACTGAGGAAAATGCAAAAACACAGTGGAAATGTTATTCATTTAATGTATAATTGAAAAAAACAGGTACATAGAACTAACAAGACTGTAAAATCTTGTTCTTAAAATAGGACAACTTCAAGCCAGATTAGCCTTTTCAACATAATTAAGACCCCTGCCATCTTGAATATGCACAGAGGGCCATAAAGACATCCTCATACCATGGGATTTACTGGTCTAGTTTGTCAGAGAGTCAGTTAAATACCTAGTGAAATCAAAATGTTCTGATTTCCTACTGGAAACATGTAGAGTACATACCAGTCTCAACAAAACGTCCTTACAGTATTGTTATACAATTCAGCAACAGGCAGATGTTTGTAGATCGAGTGAGTTCTTCTTTACTGAGTAATTTCACAATTTCAAAACCTATTATTAGTGGAAACTCAAACCAAATAGTTAGAGGATGGAGTGTGCATAACATATTCTGCTCTGTTGATTATAAGAAACTTTTGCACATTTAAAATTTCAAAGAAAGAGAAAATTTAGATATTGATTTCTTCATTCTTTATGCTGGTTAGCCATTTCCCAATTGAGTATCAGGGCTATAATCCAAAAGCTAAACAGCTTTACCACCACTTTCTATTCCAAATAGTAAGGTGTTCAAATAAAGACAGTACTGCTTGGAAGACCCAGAAAGGAATGACAAATGTAATCCATTTCATTTTTCTTAAGAAGAGGAAAAGAACAAACAAAAGAAAAGGTTGACCATTCAGACCAGAAATTTCTGTATGTGGATTCTATTGGGGGGGAATATTTAATGGTGGTAAAAAAGTGTAACAGGGGCTATTAAATTTAAGATGATGTATCAAAGAAAACATAACTGTTTAAAATACAATAATCCATAAAAAGACAAATTTTGATTGGAAATCAAGTTGCAAATGTAGGCCACAGAACTATAAAAAATAATTTAAAGTTAAAGAGATTGTACTAAGTATTATTCTTAAATAATGTGACTACCTCACGTGCCATTAAAAAAAAGGTAAACTTTGCCCCAGTCCTTTCTCTTGTACCATGTAAACTAAATGCATGGGCTCTAATACAGTTTCTGTTAATGGCAACTATATCTTTAATTTCTGTGCTTAATTCCAACTATGTCCCAACAGAAACCAGGGCACAGAGGTGACAAAGAAATATCTATGCCATACTGAAAGATATCACGTGTCCAAATGCTGCACTGAAAAAAAATCCTGTAGACAGAAAAATATGTCCTAAAGGGAAATTATAATTTAGCGTATTTCTACCAGTTTGCTCTGTATTTTTTTAATTTTTTCATTCTAAATGGATGAGCATTGAATCAGAGATGACATCACAGCTGCCTCACATGACATATTCCAAGCATGGATTGACTCAACACTCCCTCTAAGCCGCCCGTGAGCTGCTCCATTGGGCATGCGCAGCAGAGTGAGTGTACCCACACTCCATATAGACGGGGTGCAGCCTCCACACAGAGCTCCAGAGAATTAGAGGGAATGTTGGAATAACTGTCTGTTAGATGTGACTGCTTAAAATTCATTCAGGGATTAATGTTGAATGCTAGAGTCCACTGCTTCTTCTTATTCATTTATCCATCCATCCATCCTTCCATCCATCCAAGTTTCACTGGATTGGGGTCTTTCCATTTGAACTCACCACTTAATACTGCTTACGGTATAACGTAAATCTCAATGGTAAATTTACTGATGCATTAAGAAAAGGGACCATCTCCCTAGAATTCCCAGCTGCATTTGAGTTTTGATCTAAGCAACCACCATTGTGCTTCAAAGGATGCTAAACTGTGATGCAAAAATCCAGAGCAGATTATGGTGTCCGATGAAGTAGAGAGAAATGTCCTCTTATGCCCTGCAAAAGTGCCATCCTGAAGAAAAACACAATCCCATTCAAAAACACATGATGTGCATCTTAATATTTATTTAAATAATAGCTCTAGAAAGGATGGCCACTGCAGTTGGTTAAAGTATATGAGAGCAGCTGCTGCTTCTGTCTTTGGGATACACAAATCATGATGCCATGGAGTAGACCAGCAACGTAATTCTTGCCACACATCTTCACATACCAATCCTTCCAATGTAAAGGTCAAAACATAAAGGAAAGGATCTACAACATGGATTCAACTGCAGAGTACAGACTCTGCAACACACTATGTGAGAAAAATAAGGCATGCTCTGAGATACTATTTTCCCATTAAAGTGGCAGATAAAGATATTGAATATGTATAAATACTGTAATACTGAGGGAATATTAAATATAGGTAGGAGATGTACAATGTTCTAGTCTGTAAATGATTCTCAAGTGCAGATTAGCAAGTTGAATTACACTTATTTCTAGATCAGCACATTTTGGAAATAATTCTTGAACACTGTTCAATGCAATGGTGCATGCATTTTTTGCACATAAATATTAAGCCAAATGCAGCAATGCTTGGCACAGAATTAGAAAAAAAAGGTCTCATTGTGGAAGCAATAAAAATCAAGTGACAACCCTATGCTACCGCAGTAAACTAGAAAAACGAAGCAAAGTGGCTTTGTGGGACTGACTTAGTTTAAGTTACTGGGAAGATATACTGGAAAGGGGGATTAAATGGTTACCAATGGTAATTCCAAGACATCTGAACTTCTATTTGAACATTCAGAGACTGGTGAAACGTTAAGAAGAACAACTTTCAGAACACAGCCAAAGAGCCCAAAAAACCCACAACAACCATCAGATCCCGGCCATGAAAGCCTTCGAGAATACATTCAATGTTTGTTAATTATTCATTAATTTTAAAAGACTTCAAAACACAAGATGGCTGATCCTGTTCTGATTTGTAGAAACCTAGTGTGCTGCGTGGACGTCTTGTAATAGCATATATTCTACCTAACCACAGTTTTAACGCTATAAGTTATTCAAATACAGTGTGACTGAAGATCTTGAACTTACTAGACTGAAGATCTGAACAGCCTAATAAATACCAAGTGGTGTAAGCAAGACTATTTTTAACAAACACATTTTAATATACAGAATGAAAATTAATCCAATGCATGAACAGCTGGTGCTAGACTAGCAAATCGTGAATGTGAATCTCAACTGTAACACACAATTTTGAAATGCTACAATCTGAAGCACTGTTGAATCAATGTGCTAATATAACCATTGCCATTTTACACAAATAGTAACACAATTTCCCATTAAATGGATGGCTTAAAGGATTAAGTGAAAACCTGAGTATTTTCTATAAAAGCTAGACACCACAAACAAAATGTAAGGTTTGCATGACTGCCAAGTGCCATGTGCTTTGCTTGTACTTCTAATGTTTTAAGCTCCAGTTCTATTCATTATTCTTGCTATAATCATAGTACTTTCTAAATAAGTGAAAGTAATACTTATCACAAAAGTTAAGCTGATTAAGACAGTTTTCAACTTGCAAGAAAAGAATAAAGTATTCACTGAAAATATTCAGATTTTTTCAACTAGCCAATTATATTGCAGCATCGACCAGTGTAATGTGGAGCAGAATGAGATGTTTTTGTCAGTCATACATGAGAGCAAAGAAAAAAGATTGCTATCAACAGTATTCCCAAAAGCTACTGTTCAATTTCTTCCCATTTGCTTCATCAAAATAGAAATAAAAATAAATGCCACAACATTTCTTTTGTTCATAGGGATAAGGCCTGCTATTATCCCAACTTAACAATATTCTTCTAGGAGCACTATTTAAAAGCAAAGACAGACTTAACGGTTTAATACTGTAATGAAAAGTTGTGGCACCAAAACTAAATCACTACCATTTCAAAAGATAATTTATTTTTTAATTAATTTACTGAAATGTAAACAAGAAAATCTTCTAGATGGTAGAAGAGTATGAAGTCACTTACGTCACGTAAATGAAACTCCCATTCATTCTTATCACTGCCCCTTCTGTACCTACGACACACAGCATGTACTTCTCAAACATTCAGGGAGGGTTTTGTTGTTGTTTTGCCAGTTGAATGTTCCTCTACTCATTTACCTCCCGAACACACCTTACTGTCATATGACATTCATTTTGAAGTATAACATTAGTTTGAGATACATTAGCTAACTAAGTGATATTTGATGTAATCTACAGCCCGTCATTCCCTCATCGCAGGACAACTGAAAGTCTTCCAAATGCTCGAGTTATAAAGATTACTGAAGTAGTAACTCAACTTTATCTCATTCATGCAGCATTTCACTACAGGTTAACAAATTTGTCTGCATATTAGAAATGGCAACAGGTAATTCTCTTCTTGTTGTTGTAACTAAGAGAAAAAACAAGGCCAGAGGAGGTCACATGGATAAGAAGAACCCCATCCTATTCTTTAAGAAAAGTTAGTCACAAATACTTCACACAGGTGCGAATTAAGCCCAGTGCTCTTTAGCCAATTAATCTTTTCATTATAGCTGGTTTAGAGAAGGGCCAACAATATTCATTTGGAACGGTACCATTTACATTGCATTCAAAAAAAGAGAACATAGGAAACCAGATCCTGGCCCTCCTACTTTGCTGATAAGCTCTTGTGTTAGCCAATGTGTGATAATAAAGAAACAGTCTTGTGGTGATATAGAAGGCAATAAAAACATCAATGGAGTAGTGTTCATGTGCAGCCAAAATGAAGAAGATTCCAAAGAGATTCAGCACCCAGGACAGAGTGTGCAAGAAGTTCCAGCTTCTTGGTGTATCTAAAGAAGAGAATACAGTACAGTATTGTACCAGTCATAACTTCTGATGCTTCATAATGATGAGAAATGAGTTTACAAGAATCAGAGCTAACTAGAGGAAACAATTGGACCCAAGATTGCTAGGAGGTTACTACTATTCCTCTTAGCTAGGATGACAAAGCAAAGAACAGTATAACCCTCACTGAGTTTAAGTGAATTCATAACTTGCTTCTGCATCCTGTCACTCTCAAACGGATCTTACTCTGTATTTTTGCCAGCCACTGCCCCTCACATGTGTGTCCTCTGGATTCTAAGCAAAAGAAAAGGACTTCCTTCTCACTTTTGGGTTCTTATATAAATTTTTCAGCAGTGGTTCCTCACTTCGGGTAGCCTAGGTGTTCTTGGCCTGTAATTCCCAGAAGCCTTCATCACCAACTATGCTAGCTGTGGTTTCTGTGAGTTGCAGTCCAAGAACACATGGGTTATCCAAGACTGGGAAACTACTGTTATAGAGCACCAACAGGACATAGACACCATACATGAGTTGGTTTATTTGTCTCCTTGCTTGTTTTATGCTTTCTATGAAATTCATATTGGATTTGTACCAGTTAAGATTCACTTAATTTGGTATCAGTTCATTGACTGTGAAGAGAAGCTAGGCTAAAATATTGTTTGTACTTTAAGAACATAACTGACAATCCATTCTTTGAGCATCTGACACACCAAGTGATGTTTTCCATAACAATCTGATCAAAAACTGCTGCCTGTACAATTTTATGTCCTTCCTACTGAAAAATGTAGGAAGCCACCAGAGAAACCCCCACTTCACATGCTAAACACACAATGGTGCATGAAGGCAACTTATTATAAGAGTTGTGATGAGTTAAATTCATAACAATACTCTTGTCTAGTTTTGATGTTATACTTACATTCAGTGACAAAGAAATTGAGCATAGTCAAGACAACAGTATGGCCGCTGAACATGTAGTCTCCACACGTATGCACTCCTGTCAGTGTCATGCCAAATCCACTCCAAATTGCAAAGGCTCGCTGAAGTTTTGCCCAGACATTGCCATAGAGCTAGAATGAGAATCACATACCACATTTTAAAGGAACACATGAAGAACAGTTGAGGAGACTTTTTAAAGTGCTGTATTTGCCCCTTAGTCAATCCAAAGGCACCAACAAAACCAAAATACAGCTCACTTTTTCTTTTGGTGATCTTTGGAAACAATCAAGAATTAATTGTACAGGATTTATTCTGTGTCTCACAGGAAAAACACCATTCACATTCTTGAAATATAAAACCTAAAAATAAGTTTTCAGATCTACAACTCAATTTATCATGCTCTGAACAGACATCTATATATTTGCATGCCATAACCTCACATAATCAGGTGAGATAAAATCTACATACTTTCATAGGTCTTACTGTTTTAATCACTCTACTGCTGATGAAGTATAGGGCTTTATCAATATCTAACTTGACATTTGCATAGCATCATAAAAATATTCAGAGTTTTTCATTCACTTTATTTCAAAATTCTGCAGAACATCCTGCAGGATAGTTTATTATTATTTGAGACAAGGAAATGAATGCAGCGGTACAGTGCATGATTTGCATCCATAAGATTCATAGTTCAACCTCTGGTTTATCTAAGTAGCAGGTGATGTCTAAGACCTCTTCCGAAGACCCTGAGACTTGTTGTCATCAGGCAAAGCAGATGAGTCCTATAACCTGTTGCCCTCAAGATATATTGCAGTACAACATTTATTATCCCCAGCCAGTAGAGCAGTAGCCAGGCAGCCAGAGGTGATGGAAGCTGTGGCACATCACATTTGAAGGGTAGCAGGCTACAGAAGGTTTAAGTAAAACAATGTTTCATGAGATGATAGCTTGGTGAAAGAATGGTTTCTATATTCCTAACGTGTTGAAAGTATAATTGCCCTTCGTTCATAGCAAAAGCAGGAGACAAACTATGGAAGAGTGAGGATGACAGAAGAGAGAAGGAGATACCTACTTACCTTTCCAGAACACTGCAAATGTTGGCCTGGCACAGACAGCGAGGTCACAAACATTGTAATGCAACGCAACAAGAACACAGTACCCATAAGACTGCATAACCGTCGTAAAAGAATAGATCTACCAAAGCAAACAAACAATAAGAGTTGCTTTAAATACCTAGACTTGATCCTAAGAAAGACAAATTTAAGGAAATTTATGGAAGATGTTTCCTGTCCCCATGTGTTGATCAGGAGGAGCACTCTCCACAAATGCTAGGGGGCTGACTGCATGAGGAGCATGAGACTGAAAACCTTCCTTCCAGGAATGTCTTGAGAGCCAAGCTTTTGCTCCAACCTGGACACATGGACTCCCTCTGCGTTAAAACCATCTTTATCACATGAACTTCAAAATCACAAACCAATTTAGTATGACTGCTTTTTGAAACTAGAATTTTTGGCTTTGTTTGGGTGCCAAACAAGAACTTTTTGTAAATTGCCCATTAGTTTAGTGACGGTAGTCTATTTTCATACAAATAAAGAGAGTCTGCCATGCCTTTGAAGAAGAAACATCACCTTTTCTTGGAGATAAATGGTATAACATCTCAAATTATCTCCTGGCATGGAAACCAGTAATGAGTTTGAATATACCCTCCTCCTTACATGCACACAACTTCACATAAACATTTTCATTTGTTAAATCAGAGTTCATAGTGATACTCGAACCAGAAAAATGTAGTTTATGCATTTCTTTTAGTACAGCATGTAAGCCAGAAAAACTTGAAGCACTTCAAAAGCAACAAGGCCTGTTATAGTTCATGTCCGAATCTGGAAGAAAGGGATTATATCCTTTAATCTTGCATTCAGTTACAACACAAATACTGTATAATGGACCATAACAGAAGCGCAGAGCTTTCTACTAATCTATTACTTCCAAATGAAAGAACTTATGAACGATACCTGTGTTTGTGAAGGAGGAGTACAATTAACCAGATGTAGCAGAGAACCACTCCACATACTTCAGTCATGGCAAAGGCCCATGGTATCCTAGGAACACTAGAACAGAATAAGCCATTTAAAGTCAAGGTCTCCAACTACAATCTCAGATACAGTAAATTAGTATACACATAATCAGCATTATACTCTAAACTATTTGGTTTGAATGTACATTTTTCAAGTATATACACAGCACACAACTAGTTAAGGTAAAAAGATTGGTTTAAGTGCAGTGTTGTTATTTCAACATGACATATCAAGAAGCACACTGGAGTTTATCAGAAGAGTCGCATTTCTTTAGAGATAAATATCTTACCCATTTACATTTGAATTTGGCTTACTTGATATAAAACTGGAAAAATTATTCCAGCAACTAACCAGACAGCAAGATGATCTGTCTTCTGTTCCACAGCCACAAAATATAAACTGCTGAATTAAACTGGTTGTCACAACAAATTGTGGTAGTAGATCAGCACAAAGAACAGAAGCTTGACCTAGTAAAAGAAAACACTTAAAAACACCAACCTCACAAGTAATATATCTGTCTGAACCAAAGCAATATGCTTTCTAAAGTCTGTTAGGTAAGAGAAGTGTTGTTAGTAACAAGTTTGGTATAAATCTACAATATGCTAATCTTCATTTCTTCTACAGTGGGCAAAAGAAACCAGTCTACATTTGGAAATATGAGCCAAATTAATATATGAAAGAGTGGATAAAAAGTATATAGTATATAGATTGCTTCAATCCACACAAAACCACAGGTCCCTGAAAACACTGAGATAAAAAAATTAAAGTTCAAAAATCAAACACTACAGACGATTCAGAAACTGATTCTACTCCCCTTGAAAGATTCTATCATTCCTTTAGACATCTAAAGGGACATCTATAAGTCACTTAATATCAGGCACAGATTACATGACTGAAGTGATTCTCTGTATCATTAATTCTGTTTTTAATTTCTGTCCTGTCCTTATCAAACCATACTGGCCCACCACATTTAAATTGATTCGTCTTGTATGTAGCACACAAAGAAGTCAATTATGGTGAAGGTTAAATATAAACAGAACAATTTCAAAATATCTGAGGATGAAGACTCAGAATTAAGAAGATAAATGTGAATTAACAGAATTAGACTTGAGTAAACTATAATTACTATTCTACAAATACTCTGTATCCTTGGCTAGCATTCATGGTGAAAATACAAACCTTTTCTGGATAAAAGCAATGTTCAAAGTGATTTAAATGCTCCTTAGAATCAAAGAATAATGGAGTTGGATGGGGCTGATAAAGCCATCAAGCCCAACACCCTGCTCAATGCAGGAATCCAAATAAAAATATACTGAACAGATGTCTAACCTTCCCTTGAATGCCTCCAACAATTCCTTGTTGGAATTGTTTGTAGTTGTGTCTTAAGAATGTCCTTTTATAGAAACTCCCACCCATCTTGGACTCCTTTTCTTGTTAGGGTCCTTACTTATCAATGTTATTTATAAATCATAAATTCAATCACACTAAAATGAACATTTTAAAATACTGCCTTTCTTTGTGAAATTTCTTAATGTTAATGTAGCCTACAAAATCAAGGGCCAAACAAGATATGAAAGCAGATCTCTGTGTTTTAAAAACAGATCCCCCTCAATTATGTAGAAAGGAGAGATATACTTTTTAAACAGATGAAAAATTAGTGTTAAAACCTTTCCTGCTTCCCTCACTGAAGCATCTTTTCAATTGTTTCAATCACCATGTTTTGATACAAAGAGTAAACTCAGGTGAGAACCAGTTATGTGGAACAAGAAAATAAGTCCTATGTGGTCCTTGTACACAATCCAAAGACAAGGAGAGATAAAACGATTATCATCCCACTGTTTGAAACCCCCACCCCCAAACACTAGCTTGCAACCCATACAGGTCTTTGTCAGGCTAGGCACCACTTTGTTGTGGATGGTACAGAAAAATGGAGATTATGTTATGGAATGTGTTCTGCACTAAAAACTCCCCAGCTCTACTTTATATACAGCTGGACAGAACTGCCTCAAGCAACAGTTATACCCTTCACGACATTTCTCCACATTTACTCGAGAAATGAGTGTCAGTGTCATGTAATAAATACACAAATACAAAAAAAGAAATGAAATAAAAATAAATGCATTTAAAAGTCATCTAGGTGGCATAAAGTTTCATAGACTGTAGAGCATGTCATAAGACATATGTATGAAAACAAATATATAGAGAAAAATGGGAGCCACAGAGAAAGGCTGGCTATCAATTTTTAGATTATCTATTTTAATTGTATTTTAATTGTTTTATCTTTTAATTGTATTTTTATTGTATTTTAATTGTTGTAAGTCGCCCAGAGACCTTTGGGTAGAGTGGGCAGCATATAAGTTAAATCAATCAATCAATAAATGAAAAAATATAAATAAATATTTTTAAGTGTAGAACCAGCATCTCAATGTTTTAAAATGTAAGACAACAAGAAGGGTGTTGCCTGGCATTTAAAGAATTAGCATCAGATAAAATCTTCAGCAATATCATTCCAAGATGACATAGCTGAGAAGACTTTGCCCTGAACTGCCACGTTCTTAATTCCAAGGGTGGAATATCTAGATTCTAGAAAGTCTCCAAAGACAATAGACATAACAGGTAAGCATTCAAATAACCAGCTCAAATACAGACCAGGAACCAGTGAAGCTGTTTAAGCAGTGGCATTATAAACCTGAAAAAAGACAACCCAGAAGATGACAAAGAGGATACTAATAATTAAATGCCATCAAGTCAATTCCGATTTATGGGAATCCTTTCCACTACCACTGCTGAGTCATAGCAGCATTACAGACTGGAAGGGTGCACAAGTACTTATTCTTGAGACCCAAACACTTAGAAAAAAACAGCTGCTTATGCACAACAGAAAACACTACAAATCAGCCACACAAGTAATTAAAGCCTTGTTTAAAAAAAAAAAATCTCCATATGGCAACTGTTTCTTTTGGGAAAGCCTCCAGATACCAACCAGGTGAATGTGATGTCTGTAGCTTATAAGCAAAGAAAAATTGTCTGTTTCCCAAATCCTGTTAAGAGAGAGCTTATAACTACCAGTATATCTATAATACAGTCTGGGATTTTCTGCACAAGATAGAATAACTACTGTATCAATAAAATGTCCTTTACAAGCACCAACACAGCAAAGAGTGGATCAAGTAATAAACTTAAGAGCTGAAGACTTTGAAGCTACTGATGACCTGATCTATCCCTCACATCTATTCAGTCATTGCCCTTTTGTTACCCCCTGTACTATTAGCAAATCACAGCCATGGGAAAACTTTGCCTTTTTGCTGGCCTACAAAATCTCATGAACCCTTTAGCTTTGCAATCACTGTCAGCAACTCATGCTTCCTGGAGACAGCATATGTTCACTATAACATTGCCACAAATACACAATTCCTCAATTCAGCTGATGCTTATTCTGTAATCACATGCTGCTGTATTATTAAAAGTGAACCAGTGGACAGCCATTATCTTCCACTTCTTTTTTCTGCCCACAGTGGTTTAGAGCTTTTTCTTTCAAATCCTTCCCTAATGCCCTGATGACATAATTTATCCTAGGATAGAACTGTTAACATTCAGGAGGCATGATTTCCCTCTTCACTGTCTGTAAAGGTAAACCTATTTTAAAAGCTAGTTATGTCTAAATTCCGTTTCAAACAATACAGAAATCATGTTACCAGAATAAATAAACAGAATTCTTTGTGTGATATTCTGGCCCAAACCTCAAGCTAGGGAATCCAAAACTACATCTGGAGGATTATACTCTTGTTCCCGCTAAGAACATGCATTTGAACTGTCCAGTGTTCATGGTATCACTTCTACAGGGCAGCAAGTACTTTTGAAATTTTTTGGCAGATTCCAAAAATATTTTGGAACCATTTAAAATCTCAAGTATGAATGAGAGATCACTCATCAATACAGAGAGTAGCTATCCTGTGTTTCCATATAGATTATTTGGATTAAATTATATTCTGTTGATCCTATTTCTTTGTAATGAACTTTGACATCACTTAGCAGAAAAGGCTACCAAAATGCCTCCATTTATTCACTTTATGTTTTACCCTTTTGACGTTTTGATGTTGATTAACTGTAAACCATCAAAAGCCAAATGTAGCTTACATCTGAAGTAAATTTATGAGGCAAAACATTGACTATATCTCCAAACTGTCCCAGGGGCATGGGAGTACATTATGTTATATATTTTGGTTGTGTTGTTTTTGTTTTGTGTTCCTCATCTAATCTCACTAAGAAAACAACTCAATATTAATTGCAGAATGGGTTCATAAAACATTTTACACCTGCCAGACCTAGAAATGGTTTGTCTAGAGGCCCTTTTTTGGCATTCACTAGCTTATTTCCGACCAGTTTTTTCTATAGAAATAAGAGTTTAGAAACATAAGAAACTGACTAATACTGGCACACAGAACTTAATAATAAATTACATGGTGTCAAGTTGATTTTGAGTTTTAATGACCACTTCCAAAGTTGTTTTAATGTACAAGGTACTCAGAAGTTATTTAAAATTCCTTTCTTACAGGAGAAATTTTGACCTCTAACTAAGTAGCCAGGCATCCAATTTGCTGAACTATCCTCACAAGATGTCAGCATCTTCGAACCATATGTAAATTAATTCATGTCCAAAAATTTCAATCCCATGCTTACAGGAAGTTAATAGTCATACATTAGTATAGGTCATGAGTGTATAAATCAATTCATTCCTGTGGCTACCATTATATTTTTAGTAAAATAAAAAGTAATGGTCAGCTTAATTTTGAATCTGGGTTTTGTTTTTGTACATGGCATGGTATGTGTTTTGGAAGAAAGTTGCATCCCATATAGAAACAATTCTCCCTTGGTTTAGAAAAAAAATGAGGGGGCACAAAAATATCCTTGGAACTGCATGATTCCCACCAGCCATCTAAGATTATGAGTGCATCCCACATCTTTATAAGTAAGGAGGGATGCAAATAAATAGGCTGCTTCCACCAGGTGGTTTTCATTTTTCAAAAACAGTAGAGAATTGCCTGATATTCTCTGTGTTACGTATATCACCATGTATTGGCAAGTCAATTCTGACTGATGGTGATCCTTTTCAGGTTTTTCTTGATAGAGAGTATTCAGAACTGGTGTATCATTTCCTTCTTCTAGGAGCACCCTGGGACTGTAAAGCTTGCCCAAGGCCACAAAGGCTGGCCTGACTTGCAGGAGGCACAGCAAGGAATCAAACTCCCAATCTCTGGCAGTCAGATACTTAATCCATTGAGCTATCCAGCCACCTCATGTGTTACATACTTTGGACTAAACAGTTGAAGAATTATGAGTTAAGATTTTTTTTTTGGTAGGGTAAAGTTGCACTTACCTGTCTAGGAATATGTCTGGTAGTGGTGGGTAAGTTTGCATGTCAGGTACTCGTTCATGGACAATGACCATGACGAATGATGTGAAACCAAACACAATGAAAACATATATACAACTCAAAGCTGTCTTCCAGTACTCTGGGTTCAGTCTTCGTGTGGGATGTTTGTTTTTTCCATTTGCATACTGATACTGCTCAGCATTCAAATCAGCAGCAGGCTCACAGTCATCACAGTCCCGTTGCACGTCACCATTACAAAACCAGTCTGTTCCTTGAAGAGAGCCCACAGGGGATAGAGAAACAATAGGGCTGTCACTGTTGTAACCAAGCTCTTCCAAAACTTCAATATGGTGCTTTTGCAATTTGCGTATTGACAACATGAGCCTTTTGATATCACCCAGTACTTTAATTTCCAGAGGTGGAGACCTCAAGTCATATTCTGTCAGAGTCAGTAGTGTAATCCCATCCAGTCTGTGCTTATCACACAATATTTCCACATACTCACAAAACCCTTCTTCCTTCAGCCATTTGGCTACATGCCGGGTAGTCCAACGCTGAATGCAAGCTTTACCATTGCCTTCCATTTTCTCCACCTAGGTTTAAAAATATGTTTCAATTATTAAGACAGTAGGAGCCCAACATTCTCAACATGTAATTTTTCCGAATTATGATTCAACTAACTAAGGCTTAGCTGAATCATAATTCGGAAGAATTACATGTGGACTCAGACCAGTGGACTCAGACCTGAACTGGGATCCTATTGAACATCAGCAGAGCAGAAAACTCCACCAGCATAGCAATATTAGGATCTTCCTTCTTGCTGCTGTGCAAGTGAAGATCGTCACTGAGAATATGTGCCTTGCCCTTGTACTGTACACCTCCTTGAGCAGCAATAAACCCTTGACACTGCTTGATTTTGGGAGAAAGAGAGCTCAATGTGCTTGGCAGAACGCTTAGTTTTGCATAAGTACAAATGAAGAAAAATGCAAAGATGACATATTTCAGACAAGCTGCTAAAACAGAACTGTGCATGTGTGTCCACATTGGCCCTTCACTATTCATTTCTATGGGAATTAGAACTAACCCATGGGTGCTGCCATGTAGATCACTGAATCCTAACTCCTGAAAGAGGAATAAAGATGGCTAATTCCTTTTTTTGTGTGTGCAGAAATAGTCTGAAGTAGCTGGTCTACTTTCCGCACAAGTTCATGGCCTCACGTTGCCCTTGTTCATTTATACAGTGGCTTTTAAAATATGTTAAAATATTCAATAAAGAGAAATCGATATCAGTGTCGATATCTGTTTGTCCCTACATTTCAAATAGTAGTGGAATTTCCAAAATAGAACTCTTCTGTTTAAAACAAAATAGAACTGCACTTTTGTTTGAATGAGATAGAATCTGAGGTACAAAAACAGTGAATCTATGTACTGATATTTTAAGTGAGAAAGGAAGTTGCTCTGTAGTCCAAATTTCTTTGTTTTGGAGGCCATTGCCAACATTTTCTGCATTAAAACAAAGATCGTATTAATTTTTAAAGAATTCGTATATATAGGTTCGGGAGCCAACAGAACCATGCATACCATTTGAATTTTCAATCAACAATATTTACAAGCAAATTTTATTTTTTTCCCTAAAGAGCTATCGAAGTTGAAAGCCAACATCTCTCACTTTTAAGGATATAGTAGAAAATTATGAAGACCAGTTTCCATTCCAAAGATTTAAATATTCTGTTATCTAACCCCAGTATGGAATTATTCACATTTCTAATAATTCATTTAAAATTACTATAGGGGCTCTGTTTAACCAAACTTTGTAGTATTATGCTGCTGCGGCAATTAAGCAAGCATAAATACACTGCAACCTTACAAAACACTACAGGGACCCTATGAACACCTTTACCTGTCTACAAACACTACTATTAATGATGTGTGCTACACTAGTAACCTGGGGCAAAAAAAAAAAAAAAACCACAGAAGCTCTTTGCCAATTTAAACACTCTTTCTCTGACTAACACTTATGAGTCAATTCTTACTCATAAGTGGCTGATTACAAGCCTATTACACTATACGTAAGTGTTAAACAAAACCCCTTCTGACACATTAGGGAGAAAGCTGGCCACAAAAAGCAAGCACATAAAAAAAGAGATACAAAGTCATTCCTTCCTTCCAGTCAATGACAGTTAACTACCAAAGTTGTGGAGGTGGAGCAAAGGCTTCTCGTTTTCTGTAAAAAAGAGTGGAAACGGTTCCCACTTACACCCTATCTTGTTCAACCTTTCTTTTCTCCACCTGAGGGACTCTCCAGTGTGTGCTAACTGCTCATTGAACAAAGTCTCTCTGCTGTGCCTACTTGCTAGACAGCCTCTTCCTGTTTTTGACAGCAACCTAATTTGATTCTTCTTCACAGAGGCTCAAGCACACTGCACACCAACCTGACACAGTCTCTTATATTTTGGTTAAGCCACAGCATATTGATTGTCTTCTTTTTTTTCTCTCCACTCACTAATTCTAGCTAGCCTTCATTTGTAAAAGAGAAGCTGATTTTAGGGTCATGATACCTGACAGTATTGATCAAATATGTATACATTTATCAAAGCACAGCCACCATATTGTACCAAACCAAATATGCAATCAACACAGGACAGCTAGGAGATTTTTCCAAGTCTGATCTTATGGGAGCACAAAATGTCCAAATACTGAGTCATGACTAATATGATTTTTGTTTCTTTAAGGAATACAGTATGCAGATAGTTTCTACTGAACATCTTTTATTTGGGAATTCTTGGAAGTTGAAGATTGAAACTATATAGATGCTTCCTTCCAAGTCTCTTCTTGTAGGCCTTGCCATTTTGTTCAATAACCAGCGTGCAAGCTGAAGCTACACAAATATTTTCTTCATCACATTCTCTGGAATTCTGGATAGCTTGTTTAACAGCAATCACCAGATAGTGTAGCACAGAGATCCCCAACCCCCGGTCCCGGTCCATGGCCTGAGCCAGACCGGGCCATGGAGGCAGACCTCCCCCCCCACAAACGCACTCCTCCCTCACATACAGCCTGTTTGTGCCTGCGTGTGCATGTCTACACTGACGTGAGTGACCATGGCCTGAGCCAGACCGGGCCACGGAGGCAGACCTCCCCCCCCCCAAACGCACTCCTCCCTCACACACAGCCTGTTTGTGCCTGCGTGTGCATGCCTACGCTGACGTGAGTGCTCCCCCACCCCTTCGCGCATGCCCATGAGTGCCCTCTGAGAGCCAGGCTGCCCGTTACGCATGCACATGAGCACAGGGCGGGGCACCTTCCACAGCCAGTCCACAGGGCTAAAAAGGTTGGGGACCACTGGTTTAGCAGATAGAGCTGGGGATATTCATGTATGAATATTCCCCACAGGTGGAAATAACAAGGGCCCACTCACCATTTTGCCACTGACGCAAGCTCGGCACAGCCTTCCTATCACACCGTTGCCAGCAACTGATTAGCCACTCCTGGCAGGAGGCGGGATGACAAGCCTCTTTGCCAGGTTGCAGAGTGGCTAATTCATGGCAGACAGCACGATAGGAAGGTTCCGCCGAGCTCACATCAGCAGCGAAAAGTTGAGTGGAGAGTGGACCCTCATCATTTCCACCTGTGGGGGGATATTTGTATACAAGTACCCCCAGCTCTAGCAGCAGACTTTAAATGCCACGTGTTTCACCAATATATACATTTCGCAGTACATACAGGAAAGAAGAATACTAATCACTGTATACTAATCACAGACAACATTAAAACCACTGACAGGTGAAGTGAACAGATTGATTATATCATTAAAATGGCACCTGTCAAGGGCTGAGATATATTAGGCAGCAAGTCAACAGTCAATTCTTGAATTTCATGAGTTGAAAGCAGGAAATATGGGTAAGTGAAAAAAATCTGACTCTCACAAGGGCCAAATAGTGATGGCTAGGCAACTGGATGAGAGCATCTCCAAAATGGCAAGTTTTGTGGAGTGTTCACGGTTAGTACCTACCAAAAGCGGTGCAAGGAAGGACAAATGGTGAACCGGGATAAGGGTCACATGTGCCCAAGGCTCATGGATGCACATGAAGAGCCTCGTGGCGCAGTGGTTAAAACGCTGTATTGCAGCTAAAACTGTGCTCACGACCTGGGGTTCAAATCCCAGGTAGCCGGCTCAAGGTTGATTCAGCCTTCCATCCTTCCGAGGTCGGTAAAATGAGTACCCAGCTTGCTGGGGGGGGGGCAATGTGTAGCCTGTATAATTAAAATTGTAAACCGCCCGGAGAGTGCTTGTAGCGCTATGGGGTGGTATATAAGTCCAAAAATAAATGAATAAATGAATAAATGTATAAATGAATAAATGAAGAGTGAAGGCTAGCTTATCTGGTCCGATCACACAGAAGTGTTAGTATAGCTCGAATTGCTGAAAAACCTAACGCTGGCAATGACAAAAAGGTGTCAGAATATACAGTCCATCTGTTTGCTGTGTATGGGGCTGTGTAGCCACCAAATGGACAGAGTGCCCATAATGACACCAAAAGTGTCTACAATGGGGATGTGAGAATCAAAACTGAACCATGGAGCAATGGAAGAAGGTTGCCTGGTCTGACTAATCATGTTTTCTCTTAGATCAGGTGGATGGCCAGGTGTATGTGCATTGTTTACCTGGGGAAGAGATGGCAGCAGAATGTACTATGGAAAGAAGGCCTGCCGGCAGAGGCAATGTTACACTTTTGGCAATGTTCTGCTGGGAAACCTTGGCTCCTGGCATTCATGTGGATGTTACTTTGAAACATACCACCTACCTAGAGATTGCTGCAGACCACATACACCTCTTCATTCCAATGGTACTCCCTGATGGCAGTGATCTCTTTCAGCAGGATAATGCACCCTACCATCCTAAAAAAAATTGTTCAAAAATGATTTGAGGAAAATGACAAAGAATTCAAGGTGCTGCCGTGGCCTCCAAATACCGCAATATCAATCTAAATGAATATCTATGGGAAGTGCTGGAACACCAAATCCAGTCCATGGAGGCCCCACCTCTATACTTGCAGGGCTTAAAAGGATCTACTGCTGATGACTTGGTGCCAGATACCACATGACACATTCAGAGGTGTTGTGGAGTTAATGCCTTGATGTATTGTAGCTGTTTTGGCTGCACAAGGGGGACCTACGCAATACTAAGCAGTTGGTTTTAGTGTTATGACTGCTCAGTGTATATACCTATGGATTGGATAATTGTCTTTGTGAACTACATGAGGTTTTGCCACTGTATAAAAACGAAGCTGTAATACTGCCTTTTAACTCTTGTGTGTGTTTTGTGTCATCAAGTCGGAGCCAACTTATAGAGATTCTAATAGGGCTTTCATGGTAAGTGAGACTATATAAGTGATGTTGGCAGGAAGCCAAGAAACTTAAAACCAGCAATTTTATTGGTGACCAATTATGACTGGACATGGCACACAACAGAATACCTCTACAGCATGCAACATTCCTAGCCCCAACACTGCATCTGGTGGCACAAACAAAGGCACAGCTAGGGTTACTGTGATACAGGCTATACAGATCTTGGAAAAAAATAAACCAATCA